AAAATTTGAACTTGATTGTGATGATGAATATGCTGATATTTATGGTTCTCTATAGAACTGAATGAAATGATTGCGAGAAAAGCAACATGGATCTTATTTGTGGTGTGAAAATTATCTACCATGGAATTGACCATGTTTGGACACGATGTGATTACATATGATGGACACCACAGCCACCGTCGGGAGGTTAGGAAGAAGAATAATCGATGACGCAAGTAGTCGGCGTGTGCTACTTTTCTCTCTCTCGATGAAATGCACGGGCAAGTTTGATAGTATAAATAATACTGAACCTTATCCCAAATACACATTGTATAATAAATATGTTTTTAATACAAGATGAATATATTTCTTAAGGGCTGTGCTAAATATCAAACATTAGGTTCGTAAGCAATATATCCGAACAATTTCTTAGTTCCTGCTCTATCTCCGGAGTGGATAGAAAAAATAGCACAACGCTGCATGTTTAACACAAAAATGCTGACATCGGCAAATGTTCCACCGAAGTTATCGGGGTTATGTTTTAACAAACCCCCCATACCGAAGTTATCGGAGTTATGTTTTAACGACCCCCCTATACCGAAGTTATCGGGTTATGTTTTAATGACCCCCCGAAGTTATCGGGGTTATGTTTTAATGACCCCCCCCTATACCGATCGGGGTTATGTTTTAATGACCCCCCTATACCAAAGTTATCGGGGATATGTTTTAACAACACCTCCTATACTGAAGTTATTGGGGTTTTAATGACCCCCTGATACGTCTCGTACATATCTATAATTTATGAAGTATTCATGCCATGTTTACAATAATTTTATATGGTTTTGATATGATTTGGATGGAACTAACCCAGACTGACGATGTTTTCAGCAGAACTACCATGGTGTTCTTTTTGCGCAGAAATAAAAGTTTTCCAAATGAAACGGAACTTTTTCATGATTTTTTGGAACATAAGAGACACAAGAAGCTTCGTGAGAGGACAAAAAGGTGAAGGAGGTGAGAACAAGACACCTGGGCACGCCAGGAGGCCTAGGCGCCCACAGGTGGGTTGTGCCCACCTCGAGGCCCATCTTCGCGCGATTTCAACGCTGAAAAGTCCTATAAATAGAGAAACCATCAGAAATAACCCTAGATTAGAAGTTCCGCCGCCGCAAGCCTCTATATCCATGAAAAAGACCTCGTTCTTGCACTCCACCGGAGGGGGAAATCATCATCGTAGGCCATCTTCATCATCCCGACAGCCACCATGATGAGGGAGTAGTCCACCCTCGGGACTGAGGGTTTGTACCAGTAGCTATGTGTTTAATCTCTCTTTCTCTCTCTCTCTCATGTTCTTGAGATGGCACAATCTTGATGTATCGTGGGCTTTGTTAATATAGTTGGATCATATGGTGTTTTCCCCTCTCTATCTTGTTGTGATGAATTGAGTTTTCCCTTTGAGATTTCATTTTATCGGATTGCATACTTTTATGGATTTGAGATCACTTGATATATGTCTTGCATATGAATACCCATGGTGACAATGGGGTATTATATTGATTCACTTGATATATGTTTTGGCACTCAACGAGCAGATTCCCGAGGTGGCATTAGGGTAATCTATGCAAAGGGTTGATGCACATTTTCGTCCTTGTTTCTCCAGTAGAAATCATGGGGCACTCTTTGAGGTTATTTCTGTTGGATCGAGTGTCATGAATCTGAAATTGTTTGATGCGTATCGTATAATTAACTCATGGATACTTGTGGTGACATTGAAGTATCTAGGTGACATTAAAGTTGGTTGATGCGTATCATATGGTGTTATTTTAGTACGAACTCTTGGATAGATCGAACGAACGGAAAGAATAAGTTTGTGTTATTTTAGTACAAACTCTTGAATAGATCGAATGGAAAGAATAACTTTAAGGTGGTTTCGTACCCTACAAACCATTTCTTCTTATGTTCTCCTCTAGCTAGGAACTTTGGAGTGATTCTTCATCGCACGTTGAGGGATGGTTATATGATCCAATTATATTAGCATTGTTGAGAGATTGCACTAGCAAAAGTATGGACCCTAGGCCTCATTTTCAAGCATTGCAATACCGTTTGTGCTCACTTTTGCTACTCGTTACCTTGTTGTCTTTTTATTGTTCCTATTACAAAAATCAATATCTACTATCATTACTACACTTGTGTCACCATCTCTTCGCCGAACTAGTGCATCTATTCAATTTACCATTGTATTTGGTGTGTTGGGGACACAAGCTAGAATAAACTTACTAGCAAAACCCCTTTATAGAACAATCTACAACATGATTGTTGGCGCCATTTGTTACGATTTTTGCATTCTAAATCGGGTGGTTGCCATAGTTCGAACATTGTAAGCCCAAATTTAGTTCCTTTTCTTTTAGCCACGTCATGCACGGAAACTAAATAGCATAATATTGTTGCTTGCGTTGCACCATGTAGTTAATTAAGATGGAATTGATGTAGCGGTGCAACAGTTAAGTTTATTAATGTGATTGAGGGACGTATCGGAAGGTGTAGTCAAAAATGATGTGGTGGGAAATAAAGAGTTTGGAGAAAAGAAATCGGCGGAGCAACACAATGGCGAGGGGGGGGGACCTATTGACGAAGAGTTTTGCCTACCATGAAAATGAACCTTACATATGTTTTCATATAACTATATAACTAGTATGTCTATATCTATATCTATAGCAATATAAAAGTAGTGTTGACTAAATCGTTAACAGGCAGCTGCTCGGTTGGCTGGCGAGTAGGTGATTTTTTCACGAGAAAACTTCTAATATATTCATCTTCAATCATGGCAGTACAACGAACAACAGAAATAATAAATAATTATATCTAGATCTGTAGATTCTTCAATGCAAGCACTCAACATGTCTAGTATGCCATTAATATGATACCAAATCAATAGTACCAAATATCAACGTGTAATTAATGCCATAACATGAAACAAAGATGTGTACTCCCTTCGTTTCTAAATATAAGTCTTTTTACATATTTCACTATAGAGACTACATTCGGATGTATATAGACGCCTTTTAGATTATAGATTCACTCATTTTGATCCGTATGCAGTCTATAGCAGAATCTGTTAAAAGAGTTATATTTAGGAACGAAGGGAATAGTATAGAGGCGATAGTCACATATAATTAGCATACAACTAATATCCTATCTAATATCAACGTTTAATTAATATTCTACCAAATATCAATATGCATGCAATCATTTACTAGTATATAGTAGAACTAGAGATTAGTGCTATACTAGTTTTTTAGGGGTACTACTAGAGTACTAGTACTAACTAGTAATTGTGTATGTACAATGCACATTAATATCAGACATGATATTAATTGTATTGTACATTATTATTATTATTATTATTTTGTATAGTAGTGTACATTAATATTAATATTAGACAAGATATACATTGTATTATTAATATTAGACAAGATATAAATTGTGTTATTAATGTTAGGTAAGATATGCATTGTATTTCAATACTAGGTAGGATATAATTACTTGGTTAATGCAATGTTGATATTAGACATGATAGTAATTAATGAAAGGTGCTAAACACGTTTAGTGCTTAACATTAGAGTGATGCATACTATTGGATAGAAAGAGTGAGATTTCTTAAATCTCAGCAACTCGTTTTT